CCCCAAAACCCCAAAACCCCAAAACCCCAAAACCCCAAAACCCCAAAACCCCTTTTAAAAATAAACAATTGAATAAAAGATTTTTTTACTTTTATAGATGGTTTTAAAGAGCTTATAAGTCTCCATCATGTCCTTCTTCTTCCTCACCGTCATCCTCTGTGTAAAAGATTAGTTTAAGTTGATGTTATTTAGTTGAGAAAATAAAATAAAAAGACTTGGAATGTAAGAATGTGAAAGGAAGGTGAATATCAAATAAAGAAAATTCTAGATAAATTACCTGGATAATTATCATCGTCTGGGATCTCAGCTTCAATGCCTTCATCATCCTCATCGTCTCCGTACTCTTCTTCAATGTCAATCTCAAGCTCATCAAAATCTCCTGTACGCTCAAGTCCAAGCTCTGCTCTCAAAATCTCCTGCATTGTTCCAGAAATTTCGGAGGGATCGTCAATCACAAATCCTGAGTTGAGTAGGGCCACGTTATAAACTACATTTAGCAAATAAACTTACTCAGATCCATGGTCTTGACAGTGGACTCCTCTGGAGAGCCTCCGGTAGCCTTGACTCTCTCAAGCAGCTCTCTCATCACTGGGTGGTGAGGGTTCAACTCGAAGTGTTTCTTAGCCAACATATAGTCGGCAGCCTTCTCTTGGTTTGCAAAAGCTTGAGCTCTGTTGACTTTCTCCATGTGGGCTGAGTACCCGTACTGTGAAGTAAACACATATGCAGGCTCATCAACCAGACGGGTTGAAATGGCGACTTTCTCGACTCTCTTTCCGAGATGTTTCTTCCACCAGTCAGTAAGAGGTTTGTACATGTCTTTGATAACGTTGTTTCTCTTCTTCTGGTCAGCTCCAGACAAGAAGGCGTTTCCATCTTCTTTGGCAATACTCTTCATTTTCTTGCCCTTGTACTCACTGAGATGTTGCATTGTGAACTCGTCAATTGGGTCGTTGAGCATCAAGACTTCGATTCCGTGCTTGTTGAACTTCTTGAGCAAAGGTGACTTCAAGATGGCTTCTACTGAGTCACCAGGCATGTAGTAGATGGCATCTTGGTCAGATGGGCATCTTGAAATGTACTCATCTAATGAACTGAGTTCGTCTTGTGAACTTGTGGTGTAGAATCTCAACAACTTAGCAAGCTTTGACCTATTGGTAGCATCTTCAATGACTCCGAGCTTGATGTTCTTACCGAATGCTTTCCAGAACACTTCGTAGTCAGACTCTTCTTGTTCTGTTTCACCTTCGTCATCTTCAGTGGTGTCTTCAACATCTTCTTCAACATCTTCAATTTCTTCATCATCCTCGTCATCATCGTAATCCTCTTCAGTTTCGTCATCATCTTCCTCTTCTTCTTCAGCCATCATCCTCATCATGTCGAGTGCCTTCCTGACCAGCTTCTTAGAGACCACTTTGAGCAGCTTGGACTGCTGGAGTTCTTCTCTGGCTACATTCAAAGGGAAACTGTCGGAGTCCACAACTCCTCTGATGAAGCTGAGGTATCTAGGCATCAAGTCTTCGAACTCGTCGTTGATGAGTACTCTCTTGACATATAGTTTCAGAGACGAACTCTTTCCGTAGTAGCTTTCGAACATGTCTCCTCCTTTGCCTGGTGGGATGAACAGCACAGACTTGAAGTCGACGTCACCCTCAGCAGAGAAGTGGGTGTAAGCAAGGGGGTCTTCGCTGTCTTTGGCAATACCTTTGTAAAGATCGAAGTATTCTTCTTCAGTGACTTCGTTCTTGCTTCTAAGCCAGATAGCCTTTTTGTCATTGACAAGTTCCCACTCCCAAATAGTTTCAGTGATGGTTTTCTTGTTATCGGCATCTTCGTCATCTTCATCATCTTCATCATCGTCTTCTTCTTCAGTGACTTCGATGTCATCTAAATAAATAAGACTAAGTCTATTAATCTACATACCTGTAATTTCATCAGTTTCAGTATCTTCATCATCATACTCATCATCTCCAATTAAATCTTCATCTTCAATTTCTACTTGCTTAGTGACTTCCTTGCTTGTGTACAAATAGATTGGGTAATTAATGAACAAAGAGTATTTCTTCACTAGTTCCATCAATTTTTCTTGGTCACAAAATTCAACAGCATCTGCTTTCAAATGAAGTGTGATCTTTGTTCCTCTCTTCAAAGTATTTCCTCTTGGATCTTGATTCACAGCGAATTTTCCGTCAGCTGCTGACTTCCAGATATGCTGATGTGGATCATCATTGTTCTTAGAAGTGACTGTAACCTTGTTAGCAACAAGATATGATGAATAGAATCCAACACCAAATTGACCAATAAGGTTCATATCTTCTGTCTTTCCCATAGCTTCTAGGAATGTAGTGGTACCTGAGGATGCGATTGTACCCAAACTTTTGATCAAGTCTGCTTTTGTCATACCAATACCAGTATCAGTGAAACTAATAGTCTTAGCATCCTTATCAAACTCAATTCTGATATCCATTTTATCCTGATCGCCCATGTATTCTGGATCTTTGAGAGATTTATACTTGACCTTATCCAAAGCATCTGAAGCGTTAGAAATCAGTTCTCTTAGGAAAATCTCTTTGTGGCTATATAGAGAATTGATGAAAATATCAAGAATTCTCGACGTATCCGCTTCAAAATCAAAGGACTCCTCGCTTTCTTGCAAAAGTTCTGCTTGTTCTGGAGTGAGCCCATCTGCATCTAAACTATCATCATCTTCGTCAAGTGCTGATACTGGTTCTTCATCAAGATCTTCTTCTGCCCTGTTGTAGCCAGCAAAGCACACCAGGGACAATAGAAGTGTCAATAGTAAAAGGGTTGAAAGTTTCATTGAATTTTAAACCTCCCTATTTATTTTTATAGATAATTTTATTAAAGTAGATCCACGTGTTTGAGTTTCAAGAAATTTCAGATTTGAGGGGTTTTGGGGTTTTGGGGTTTTGGGGTTTTGGGGTTTTGGGG